ATTCGAAATAAAAGAAAGACTCATTTTTAGCGTTTGACTCGCATGGTTACGAGTCAAACGCATTTGCTTCCGACTATCGTCGCTAGCATTACTTTCAGGTAAGCTACCAACGACAGAATTAAAAAAAGCTGTGTGGAAATCACCGCCGTCCAACACCGCCCAAACAAAAAGCTGTGCACTGCATTTTTTTTTTTTTACGTTGTTTATCTTGAGCGACTGGGGTGTAAGACTGGACAAGAGAGTTGCGTCAGCGTGGAGCTGGGACTCCTATTCAATCAATGAAGCTCTGATTGAACAAGAATCCCCCACCGAATGCTGATGGAGCACTTATCTCGAATCTGTGTAGTACCACGTTCGATCGATGTAAATTACGCACAAAAATATCCGGTGCACGGACCTTGGTTTCTCCGAGCCTCCCCTCTCAATGGCTGATTTCAACTAAGCTTGGACAGAGGGTTGCTGGTCGACGTGTTTAATTCGGTTTATATTTTATATGTCGTTCTAATCTGTGGTGTAGACAAATCCTTGCATAGTTTTGTCAGAAAAAAAAAATTCGGGACTGTGCTTTAAAAGCGCGTGCTTCAAAACAACATCAAAGTGATGATGACCCGTGGAATAGATGTTTTAACTCGTCAATTATATTGACTGCTTGCTTTCAAGTATACACACACGATGCTTTATTTATTGTATTATCCTGTACACTTTTCAACAACAATTGTACAAAATATATCGTTACATTTTGGTGTAAATTATTGCTGTACTGTATTTTTTTTTTCCATTTCTCGTTTTTTATGGGTTTTTTTTTTTTTTTTTTTGTGGTTGTCCGCTGAGCAATGGAAACAGGGAAACAAGGCCTCGTCGGGCAGAACAAATCTTTTTTTGCCAAGTTACCCTAGATCTTGTGTCTGAATGAAAACAAACAAGCCATAATAACCATCAAGCCCCCAGCGGAACACACCAGGTCACTCCACCGTCTAGGAGCCAGGAAATTACGACTCGTTTATTGCAGCCGGAAAACGTTCTGCATGGCACGACCAAAACAGGTTGATTTCGGTGTTTACTTACTTACTCACTTACTGATGCCAAAATCGTATTAGCAATACTATAATGCTTGGTATTTGCCACGCCTTGCGTTCCTTAAACTGCGAGTGTCTATATGCACGTATAAGATACCAAACAATGGGAGCTAGAAAAATTGTGAGCACGCAGTTTCGCTTCCTTATGACTGGTCGGATGATATGATAGTCATGGGTCAGTTAACAGTCATGGGTCAGTTAACATTCAGTTAACTCGTGCCATTGGTTCACACGATTCACATCCTTGAATTCGTAAGGAACTGCTGCCAGAACAAAACGCAGACGGGGAAGCCTATCTCTAAGAAATATCATTCTTACATAATTTCCGCCTTTCAGAAACTACCTTGCGTTTGGGAAAATGGAAAACCGTGTTGGTTGTTGTTCTTGTGTTTTTTGTATGTGTGTGTTTTTTTTTTTTTAGCTTTCCGCGATGTGTAATTTATTTTTGCAATGAAAAAGACACTGTTCTTTTTTTTTCCCCAACACACTGTATTTTGTACGAAAGTCTTTTTTTTTTTTCGTTATGAATTATAGCAAAGGCTACAAGCGCGAGCAGATACCATTGGCTGCTTCCGCTGTACGTGCGTTCGTGCAGACGAGGTGCTTTTCAGAGCAAGATGCACGTGCCTATTTCCGTCCTCTATGAAGTGCACGAGGAGCTCAGAAAGAAATTCGATCCTTTCTTTCTTTACCTTCGAGTCAAGCTCACCCATCCGAAGCTCATGATCGACAGCCTGCTATAGCGGCAATAGTCCGGAACTAATGACTTGCCAAAGAAAAAGTGCAACCGAATCTTCTCGTTACTACGGCACACACACTAGGGAGTTTTCCTAGGTAGTTTTCGCCGTCCGGCAACGCTCTCCGCTACCCGCTACGATACACGGAACTCTACAGTCAAGGCCATCGGCGCGCAGGCGCAGTAGCAGCTTCCTCGTTGCAGAAGGCTTAGCAGGGAGGGGGGAAGGAGGGAGGAGGGGGGGGGAGAGAACGCGGTTTACGAAAACTCCCTACTATAGCAGGGTATTACTCGTCGCTAATGACTGAAAGTTGCCAAGAGGCTTTTGCTGGGGAGGGCCGCAACAAATCCCTTCGGAGATACTGCCCGACCGCCCAAATTGCGACCCTCACCTAGTGGAGGAAAGGTTCTCGATGGTTTGCTACTGAATTACACGTATTCTTATATTTCTTCAGTCTGCTTCTTTTACGTCAGAAAAATATCGCCTCTAGTTTGGATAGCGCCAACAGGACCGTCAACATATCCATAACTTGGCGTTAATTACGAACAGGACTGACGTTGTAATAGAGGTACAACCTCAGTTTTCTCGTTCACCTCTTTGTGAATTTGATTTTTATTTATTAAAAAGTACCGAATAAATACTCGACTCATCGAAGCGCATCAAACGAAGTAGCACTACCCAAACTAGTAGAATTCCTTTTCATACGAAGGGATATATATATATATTTTTTTTTTTTTGGCATGTGCTCGTTTTTCGTAAAGGAATCAACCATAAACAGAAAAGGTCTAGCGACTTACGCTTTTGACGTTGCTTGATTCGTACCATTACCTCGTGGTGTCCGCTGTGTTTGGACTTAAGTTGGGTTCCCTATAGCGACGCTCAAACAAAGAAAAAAAAACGACCGAACCAGCACGTCCTTCTTATACACGGGTCTGGGTCAAAGACGTGCGAAATAAAAGAAGTCAGAATTTGAGGCCATAGCACGCAAGCACTCAGACTCTCATCTGAATAACGCAGCCGCGGAAAGCAGAGAACAGAGAGAGAGGGGGGGGGGGGAGAGAAAAAAGGAGGAACCTTTTAAGCGCCCGTTTTGTTCTCTGGTTTCATCGCAGTTCCGGAAAAGTTGTCTCTCGCGTGAACATGAGTTATGGGGGCGTTTCGGGAGACAGCGTTCAGCGTGGCGCTCCGGCGCAAGGTTCGCCGCCACTTCCGTGCCTGCCGGCGCGTGGCTATCAGCGGCCACTAACAATCTCCACCGATGCAGCCCCCGTTTTTACGAGTGCCACACATATGCTCCTGCAGAAACGAGCGCGGCTCTTCAGTACGCTTTTTTTTTATTCCTTGCTTTGGGCTGTGTTTCTCCCTCGTTTATTTACTAGATGCTCTTTCTTTCTTTTTTTTTTTTTTCTTTTTTTACCCCGTTTTTTTAACCATACGCGACTCAGCCAGGTTAGCTATGCTAGCTTTCGCACTATGCGTACTCCGGTGGCGGCCGCGTCGGGGCTCGCGCAACCAAACCTCTGTTGTAGCAGACCGCTGCACTCTTCCACCGAATAACGCCGCATAGCGGTCACTTCCTCTCCCGCAATCTCCTGCCCCCCCCATCGTTTTAATCCAACATTATCTCTCTCTCTCCCTCTCTCTCTTTCTCTTTCTCGGCAGTTTCGGTGAGGCTCCTTTATTAGCTACAAAGCATTAGCTAAGCGCGGTAGGAACGCGTAGATGGCTCATCGTACCGGAATTCGTTTTGTTTTTGTTTTCTGTTCTCGTCGTTGCAAAAGCGTTATATGCGCAATTAACTCCCGCCTGCATGCGATCTTCCCAAAAAAGCGGCAACATGTGTATGCGAAAAAAAACACGCAAAACAAGAAAAAAACAAAAAAAACATTCGAGTTGCGATGAAAGTGTAAGATACGTAAATGGGAAAAACAAACACGGAGCAGAAAGAGTGCACTCGGAAGTGTCTGCTGTGGACCGCGCCTGGACTCGTCAAACGTGAAGCTAGCGCAATTAGTGCGCGTACTTCCGGTCTTTGATCCTAATTACGTTAAACCACCTAAGCTGCCGCAGGTTCTGATTTTAGCCTCCTCCCGTGCATGAATAATGTGATGGCTTTAATACCCACTTTCGCCGTACACGGTGCGGTGCCTTGTGTTATTTCGAGGCTCGTGTATACACTGGTCGTTCTGTATCCAAACGCGCGCGTCAAGCGGGTCGTCATTTATTTCTCTCTGCTATGATTTTCAGAGAAAAATGGGGTGAATGTCGCATCACTGCGTAACGAGTTTATTGTTTTCTTTACACTACTTGACTTAGTTACTTTTTTTTTTTTTTTTGTAAAAAACAACACGTTTTTTCTTTTTTAGTGCATTTCCTCGGAAGCAATCTTATGGCATTCCTTGTGAGCGACACTTCGCAGGTGTACCGGCAAAATATTCCAGATTTGGCAAGCGTCCATCGATGGGGATCGTTTCCGCAAACTATACGCTTAACAAATCTAAAACTATAAAACTGAGCTAGCATAGAAGTTTAACTAAGCTAACAACGGATCATCTTTCCAAATTGGAGAGCGATATAATAAAGCTTGGATGCGTTTGCAGGTTGCCTTCAATCGACTATAGAGGCCTTGTTTCCCACTTGATTAAGTTGCGTCATATTCATACGTTACCGAGAATTCGACACTAAAAACTATTGAGGAAACCGCAACATTACGGCTTTCGTCGTCTTTCTATCCGTGCTATCACCGACACAAAAAAAAAAAAAAAAAAGTTCATATTTGAGCTTGATTTTTTTTCTTTTTCGCACCGTATGCTATAGTATACGGCGCGACTTTAAGTCTTTAGCCTGTTCGCATCTTTTGTGTGTCATCTAGCCTCGTAGTAAAACGAAGTATATGCAAGTTGTGTGCTCATTGACGGCATCATAATGTCGCAACGTCGATGGTACTTAGCATTTTGTACGATATGAAAGTTGGCCGCTACTCAAACTATACTGTGATGGAGGAAAGTGAAGCCTGAACCTGGGGGTATCGTTTCAGCCTACTTTAAAATATAAAAAAATCTACGCGATCTACTTCAGATTCCCGCTCCGTCCCCGAGCCCTTCCGTAATCCTCCGCGAGCGAACGGGCATTCGATAATTTGCAACAGGAAGCGAGTGCCTGACGGCATCTAATCTGGGCGTCGCAGGTTCGCCACCCCACGCCAGATGGGCTCTCCCGTGAAGAGGGCGAGAACCGAGCCCCTGAGCTTCCGGCCGGCCACCGTGGTTGGAAACAAGGCTGTCGCCAAGAAAAAGCTGCAGACCTACGCGGAGCCCGACATCCTCATCTGCGGCAATTGCCGTGAAGTGTTCCCCGGACTCCAGAAGCTGCTGGAGCACAAGCGGCACCGCTGCAGGCTCCGCTTTACCTGCCGTTGCCAGGTCGTCGGCCTGCTGCCCATTGAATCGTCTCCTGGCAAGCGCCTTTCCCACTTCCTTCCCCTGCTGTGCTAGTCAGCGCCCTTTGGATCCGTTTATTATAAGACTCGGATCCATGTGTACGGCGACCGTGCAGATGGGGACCTGTGAAAACGCTTACCGCTCATTCACACTGGAAGCGGATCCGCGTTCGCAAAGCGGTTGCGAACGTGGTTGTATAAAGATCCAGTACAATTGCACGCGCACTTGATGTCCTCGAGTGCGCGTGCAATTGTACTGGATCTTTATACAACCGCCTTCGCAACCGCTTTTCGAACGCGGATCCGCTTCCAGCGTGAATGAGCGGAGTAGTCCCGCTTACAAATTGACAGAGAATCTCAAGACGTGATCGTCCCGGACTGTGTAGGACCCCACAGCTGATGAAAATTAACCTTGGAGCGGGAACGCAGTGCAGGTAATTCAAAAATCAACTAAAGAGCTGGCTCTATAATAAATATTGCCTCCTAACCTCTCAAATATCATAATGCAAAATACGTAAAATTTCATGTGAAATATAAAAGTGTTAATGACGTCAGTTACATACTGCACTACGGGGCATCTGAGAGGGTATTTATGCGTGCCTACATTTTTACAGAAGCACGACGACCTGTCATAACGCAACCATCATAAGCGAATATTCACATCTCCGAGATGTAGTTTTTCAGCGCGAAAACCGTCGTTCGAAAGCCGGTTGCTCGGAGCCTCCTCCTTACTTTTCCTCCGTCGTGCGCGATGATGACATGTAACTCGGTATAGTTTAGAATAATTAAGCCGCCTGAGGAACATTTCATTAATGAGGATGAATGAATAACTAAATTTAATATTTATGGCTACCGACACACAGAAATTGCGTTGATTTTAAGAACACTCAATCACATAGTTGCGGGGACCGCGCGTTCCGAAGTTTTTTAAATCACAGTCTCGACGTCTCTACGTACATCACATTCGTGCTCTACAAACTTACTTGGGCCTCGTCATCCGCTGGCCACGACTACCCAAGTGACTTGAGTAGTCGTTGTGATTGCTGGAGTGACTTGTGGCATTTCCGACGTGACATTCCTTTTAAATATCATGAATTAAAAATTTAGAATTTCAATCTGTTGCACATAATATAGCCTGAACTACATTGTTAGCCTTTCATGTGAAACCCTGTTTGCTTGTTTTTGTTTAATTATTATTATTATGCGGCTTTCACCTTTTCGAGCAATAAGCCTGCCGGGTGTTTTCTTAGTAAATACTTGGAAAAAAAAAAAAAAAAACTCGTTTCAATGTGTTCGAATCTAAATGAACCATACTTCGATATACATGTATTGCAGTGAAATACTTATTATCATTATTCACTCACCAAATTAATATGCGTTCTTTTTAACGGCAAACTAAACAAATTGAAGTCTGCGCTGTGACATTGCGCAATGCAAGCATGACGCTTTGCATTGCGTAGTGACACATCGCAGACTTCATTTTTAGGTCGAAACGGATGTTCTGCCTCATCATTCGCTGAGATAATTTCGTAGATAGCAAAGATTGGCTCTTCGAATGCTTTGTGGGTAAGTACATGCGCAGGCATTTCTTCGAATGTAAAATTGCTCTCTTCTAAAAAAAAAGAACATACTTTTCTTTTTGAGAAAAATTCTGCGGACTATTATCAAGCCGGCGTTGTGTTTTGTACGTTCACGTGCTAGTTACAAGTTCTTTCCCATTGGGCAGCTTGTGTCAACAATCCCCCCGACGTTCCTCGCAGGGATTCCATCGCCTGTATGCGCACAATGTCTTGCACGATGCACCACCTGGTGGGAGCTTGCCTGTCACCTAGAGGCAGCCCACGGAATGTCCGTGTACCATCACACCTTAGATACAGCAGCCAACTTGGTAAGTATAGATTGCGCTCAAAGCACACATTCTCTTTTTTTTCTGGGTGTCTTGACGGTTTTTGTCCCATTGGTCGAGCAAACCCTATCTGCAGCCATGTTCCAAGCATGAAGCAAACAGGCTTCGAAAATGCTCGACACGTATCCGCTGTCATCATGCCAGCAGACCGTGTCTTTTGCATATGATCTCTGAGCAGTGCGGCTGTGACTTAATGCCCTTCAATACCTTTAACACCCTCCGGTCTTTAAAGGCATTGAAATACATGAATACAATATACTCACCCAGAGCGTAATATGCCTTACATCTCCTCTAAAAAACAAGCTCTCTCTATATATATATATATATTTTTTTTTTTTTGTGTGTGTCGTGCCTTGTAGGAGGACCAGGACCCCAAAAGCGCACAGACCGACCACCAGATGGAGTCGCCCAGCAACGACGTGACGTGCGAGGAAGGCGCCAGCGTGGCCTCTGATTCCCGGAGCGAGGACTGGGCCAGCCTCGTCACCGAATGCACCAACCACAACTCCAACGGCACGCACTCGGTCACGGACTTTCTGGACGAGGTACTTTCCGCATTTTAAATTCTGAAAGGTTGGAGACCCACCAGCATCACCCGTATATTCACCACATTCGGTTGGAGTTGATACCACGAGGGCGCTACAGTATTTGGTGCCCCAGTAGACTTCCAGTAGTATATTTATTTATTCTTCAGCAATGAACAGCGGTCGGGTAAGAAGAGTTTCCTTCAGAGAAGTTTCTGTAGTAGGTTTGTAAGAACATTTGTGCATTGTACAAGGTAGTGCAAATAACAAAAGGAGGAGAGACAAATGGAAAAGAAGAGGAAAACCGGAAGCGCACAGGGGTCCGCCGATAGGAGGTGGTAGTGAGCTTGTTTGTAAACAAACATCGGTGAATACTGTATAGGCAACATGCAATGCTGTTTGGTTTGGCGCTCTCTATAGCGAGACTGAAGCAAGAATCATTGGGTATGCCTGGGAGTGGCGGCTGCATTGGTCAACCGTGAGCTATTACTCTGGTGGCGCCGCTTAGCCTAGTGTCTGAAGCTGGGTAGCTGGGTAGAAATACTGGGTAGACCAAAAAGCCATGATCGCATAATATGCCAGTATGGTGCAGTGGCGTCACTAGGGTCAGCGGCACCCGGGGCGGTGGCCCGCGGCGACACCCCTCCCCCCCCCCCCGCCCCCCAACTCGTCGCCAGCCGACACAACCCCCCCCCCCCCCTCCGCTTGTCACCCCCTCCCCCCCCCCCCCCCCCCCCTCATGGCCTGTCGCGACAACCCCCGAAGCGCTGCACCCGGTTTTGCGTTTTTAAGTCCTCAACAAGGGGATTTCTGGTGGACTTGAAAATGCTAGTTCAACATAAAGTAACTTAAGGCTCTTATTTCTTTGTGGCACTTCAGCATGTGTCAAGCGAGATCCCCGTCGCTGCATTTCAGGGCCTCGACAGGAATCGGCTTGAGTCGCCACCGGTTTCCAGTCTGGACACCGTCGAGAAGGGCGTCGACACCACCGACCTCCAGCCCAGCATCATCGTGGAGCAACCCTAAAGAGAAACACCCAGAACTTTTCCAACATTACACGTATACAACCACCCGTAGGCGTGAGTGGAGTCAGGGTGGTTTGCAACGCCAAAATTCTTTGTTTCCTCCATGTAGTGTGATTACTGTTGGTCTCCCACTTGCGTATGCATAAGCACGGGGCATTCGTGCGCCGGATGAGCACTGTCAAAGCACTGTAGCGTGCCCGGACATGCCGAGAGTGCCTTTGTACCGGCTAGTCAAGGCTTTGACTTCACGTTACACGGAGCCGTGCGTTCCAGCTCAACGTTTGCCAGCACTTGCACTGGGTGAACCGCGCTCCTGTAACCGGCGTATGTGAAGCGTTTTTTTCTCTCCGACTTGTTTGCACAGAGCATACCGGAGGCACTTCCTGAGACATCCTTCGTTCGCCACCTTCATCTTCCCTGTTTCCTTTTGGTAGATGATCGCAGACAAGAGTCGAGAGCTCCGCATAAGCTTCAATAAACCTTTCCTGACAGACTCCGTTTACCAGGCACCACTAGTCAAATATACAACAAAGTTCTGGGACGCCACTAAACCTCGCATTTACTTTTGTTTATTTTTTGCGTGTGCCAGAAGCGTTTTTGGGAAATAAAGACTTAACTCCATTACCTCATCTTCAAAATATTGTCTTTATATTAAGTAAGTGACGGTAACACTTGGAAACGGGAGATGTCTAGCCTCCGTTTCTTCACGGTGGCCATATTCAGGAAATTATGTCGACATCGATTGAATTCACTTTTTTGACCTTTAGAGTTTTCTTTCCCGCTTCCAGTTTTCGGATCTATATTTGAATTAGGATGGCGTAGCCTTAAGACATGTTACACACGCACGCCCGAGATACTTATATGACGTCAAGCAACCAAGTTTCATGTACTTCATCTTATCAAACTGTGTAAGTGCAACCAAATTATTGAGTGAAATAGACGACATCTAATATTTTTTGTTAGCAGTCGCTCATTGGGAAGGCGGGTACATTCACTGGTATTCGTTGTATGCGTACGGTCAGCAGCGGATTAAAAAGTATTTATTTCATCCTGGGCAAGCGGATGTGATGGAAGCCCAATGTTACATCGATTGTCTCAAGTCCCCAAAGCAGGATTCTTTAAGAACAGCCGCTAGGTCATCTTTTTGTCCGCCTGTTTAGACATTACCAGTTATACTGTTCTCTTTCCACCTTCCATTCTCTCACTGAGTCTTCTTTCCCTTTAAGGCTATCTTCGTTTCGTCATATGTCCGAGCGAAGTCGATGCCACGTACACGTACAGCCATCAACGCATACTAAAAGCGCAAGTTCCTGGGCCTTTCCTGTGCATGATTGGTTTAGTGACGACAGAACACGAACCGAAACATAATGACGTTGCGTTTTTGACGTTATTTGATTAGTTCCATCGGCTTGTATCGTCGGCTACGTCCGGGCTTAAGATGAATCGAGGTACATTTAAACGGGCAACCACATTGTGCACGCTGCATTGAGTCGCATATACTCTTTGTGGTGAACCGTTATCACCGCAGAGTATTCCCGTTGTGTGAATACCACCAGTGGCACACAGTCAATTCCATAGTCTAATCACCACCGTATTTATTTTGACCAAAATTTTAGTAATTTTTATGCGGTATATAGCGGCCTGTAAATTAAGGCATCATCAGTGCCGCGAATTCAGGCCTGCTTTGTGGAATTAATTTCTTTGGGCCGGACACTGAACGTTCAAAGCCATCATCCGAAATCTAGTAAACTTTCCGTGAGCACATATCAACACGCTACGGGCGTTTATTTGCACGATGAAAGTAATGAAAATGGCATTGTGGGTCCTCCACTTGCTCTGTGCAAATGGTCGCTGTTGATTACACCAGTCTTCCGAGGTTTTTCTATGAGACGAATTTCCGGACTTGTTGATTGTTGTTCCTCGTTTTGTATTAAATGTTCAGGGTCCTGCATTCAGAGCGGAATGCGTCCTTTTGACACCACTTGTTTTGTTATTTCGATTCTTTGAGAATTTTCAAAGAAACATACTTCGAGACTTTATATATGTGTGTAGAAGTACCGCTCGCCCTCTCACGAACGAAAGCGCAAATTTTGTGAGTGCGCTTGAGCCTAATGGCCACTGTTTTATCTTTGAGATTGTTGTTTTGACATATATTTTTTCGATGAAGATCATGAATTTATAAGGATACAAAAAAAAAAAAAAACTGACTGTGGGGTGATGTCTTTGGATCGACGGCATTGGATTTATTTAAAAACATCACGAGCTGTTGCGCTCACTTGAATACCTTTTCTTTATTATTTATGCCAGCTGAAATAAGATTACTCTTTTTTCACGATACAGTACGTCATCAAATCTTTGCGTGCCCCAAAAAGGAATACTTGAAGCTGAGTTTCTGTCAAGAAAAGGTAACTCTATTCCGTGCAAAATTGTGCGAATAGAAATCAGTTATTGGCTCATCCCTCGCTGTCTTTCTCGTATCTATTTTTTATTTTAGCGCCGCGAGATGCGTTCAGTCTCATTTGTACGGAACTTTTCTACTGCGCGTATGTTATTAAATTTATGATGCATTTGAGCCAAATTATGCTTGCACTTTTAATCAGTCGCTCCGTTTAATTAACTTGTTTGAGATGGGGGGGGGGGGGGGGGGGGGGGCACGTTCATGACTAAAGGGACCCACTTGAGATAGCAGTTACAAAGGCATATCCGTTGACTTAAAAAAAGTCAAAAATAAGATGAAACAGATGTGTGAAGAAAACTGCTAGGGTAGGGGATTACGTTTTGTATTTTTGGAGGCCCTCTCACTTATTTAAGACAGGGTATTTATTGTCCTACAATTCACAAGCGTCTCAAAATACACAACACTGGTTGTGCTTAACGCCAGTCGAAAACGAGCACTCAAATTTCATCCGAAATGTCCAGAGCACGTCAAAAGGATGTAATTTACTTTGGAAGACCTCCCAAAACTAGCTGTGTCTGTGCTACGTGATTAGGCAGTAATTTAGATAATTTGAAGCGCATCGGACGTGTTTCTGCAAACATTGTGAATGAGTTTTGCGATGACAGTAAGTTCGAGAATTTGCGATAGAAGTCCGCAATTCATAGTGAGAGAGGGAACAAAATAAAGCAAATGTATATACCGTGTACATTATTTGGTGAATCTGTTATTACATAGGTATCGAGAGAATTTGGGAAGACGGATGCACATATCAGTCTAAACAAAGCCCGTGCGTCTACTTTCCCGCACAACACACGGAGAGCCAATTAGCGCAACTTACGGAGGCAGCTCAGCGAATGCCGATGCCGACACATATGTTTAGACTAAAAAACGCAGTCCGAGTTGTGTAATTACGCAATGCAAAACATCACGCTTGCATTGCTTAATCTCACAACTCAGACTGTGTTTTTTGGTCTAAACACATGTTTCGGCATCGTCATTCGCTGAGCTGCCTCCAGAAATTGCGGTAATTGGCTCTCCGAGTGTTGTGCGGAAAAGTAGACGCACGGGCTTTTTTTGAGAATGTAGAATTATGCTAAAACACTATAGCGATTTAAACGAAATAATCTTGTGGTGAAAATCGAGCTCGAACACTCGGTCGAATAAACACGCATTCCTCACGTGGACTTCTGGCCAGACGAGCTGCGGCAATAATACGCCTTTCAATTTCAAATGTTCGGGTTGGTCCACTGGATGCCAATGTCACTCGCATGGAACCAATCATCAGCCTCAATTTTCGAAATCTGGCTACATTACGAGGACCGCTACTCTATTCATTCGAAACTTCAAAACAAGTCACGCGTGAAAACAGCGGCAAGAATAACTATTTACTGGTACGTCATAGTGACGCTGCGACCCAATACCGTGTCAAATACTGTTCTTCCCACTTTTTTCGTCTTCCCTATGGCTGCAAATATTTTGTCTTCGGACTTATGCATCGAGTTGCCGGCTCTCTGCAGCGTCAAGACTAACGATGAGACATCTTTCTTTTTCTTTTTTTTTTCTTTTTGTGTGGTGCGCATAACACGCTGACGCGACTGTATCTCAGATTTAGTCCAGGATAGTCGAAAGCAATATAATTGATTGCTAGGATTACAAAGGAAAGACAGAGGAGGAGGTAATATAACATTTTAGCATTAACGCTACCGCCTATACTCGGGGACAACTTTCTCTGCACTCTAAAGAAAGCCCGTGCGTCTACTATCCCGCACAACACTCAGAGTGCCAATCACCGCAACTTTCGGAGGCACCTCAGCGAATGCCGATGCTGAAACATGTGTTTAGACCAAAAAACACAGTCTGAGTTGTGACATTAAGCAATTCAAAACATTACGCTTTTATTGCTTAATGTCGCAACTCAGACTGTGTTTTTTGGTCTAAACACATGTTTCGGCATCGTCATTCGCTGAGCTGCCTCCATAAGCTGCGGTAATTGGCTCTCCGAGTGTTGTGCGGGAAAGTAGACGCACGGGCTTCTTTTAGAGTGTGGCATTTTTGAAGAAGTGAAGACCGCGCAAGCACAGCTGTGATCGGCGCTCAATCTGCGCGAGCGCACGGCTACCCAAAGCTTTGACTTCATTGCCAAGAAAAGTTTGTTCCCAAGTATTGAGCGGCATTCCTACCGGGAGCTCGCGTTATAACTTTGAAGCATGCGCACAAGCGCGAGCCCGGAGCGCTACCGCGCCCGGTCAAAAATGTGTGGGATGGAAGCCGAAGCTACAAGCACGAGTCTGTTGTCCTGAACGGGGCTCGCACTGCACAAGCGGTGGGGTCGGCGGGGACGCTGAAAACCCAGAGCTCGCTGTTGTGACTTCCGCTACGTATGCACCTCAAGTGAACCGGAGTTTTCAACTCTCTAATGTAATTTTTTTGCGCCTGGTTTTATCGCCAAGCACTGTGGTCCAATCTATTTATCCACCCCGCAATTGTAGTTTTTTTTTTTTTTTTTTTTTTAATGCGGCGTTTGGAAATTAGTATAATGAGTGTAATATTACAATTGAAATATTGCAACAAATATTACAAGTCATCAAAAGTGCGGATCCTATTGAGCGATGTCTTTTTTTTTTATCAAAACGTTTAAAATGTAACATCGTCAATTTTATGTCTATATATCTAGTCAACTTTTCTCGTTACACTTGTAAAAGACTGCTGCAGCAAGACTGGTGGAAAAAACGATCATTTTTTTAAAAGAATATCCGCACAAAGAAATGCACGCGCTATTTTAACAACGATCTACTTTCGCATCTGCTCGTACTTCATGCTGTCGTCTGAGTCGCCCTGTGGCTATAGCCCTTGTATTCACGTCGCTTTTGCCATGAACATCTCGGTGAAACGATTTGCGCCGATGCCCCTTGCATGCTGACACGGTGCTACGAGGTCTAGATACTGTGTTCGTCAGCCGTAGTGAAACAGCGCATCTGTAGAAACTCTCTGAACACTGCACGTGCTTCGAGGTACTCTTAGTTTGTGTAACTTTGCTTTGACTTGCAACATCGTAGCGTGAACATAGCTCCAATTTTAGGGTCACTTTGTTTTCTTCAATGCAAGCGGAATGTACATATTTTTGTCAACCGAAGGCAATTCACGTACACGCTGACATATGTGCGCACGTTTGTTTGCCGTGTAATTTTGTGTGTGCGTGCCTGCGTATACGTGCGTGCGTGTATGTGTATTTATGCGCGAGTGTTCGTGAATAGCTAATATTGAGTTCCCATTCACCTTAGCTGCGAAGATCAGCAAATATGACACGCATCCTTCTTTTACGACGTTGTCTTATGTACTGCACTAACTGTACGGGGCTCAATGTTGGCCGTGAGTAGGCGTCCTTTATACGTGATAGTTTGCGATATATAAAAACCATAATAAAGCCAAGGCAGAAACGGCAGCTTTCAGAAAAACAAACCATGAACACGCCGAGATCTCCAAAGCGTATTTGTGAAATTTTCATATTTTTCTCGAAGACCCGTG